AGAGAGAGAGAGAGAGAGAGAGAGGGGGAGAAAGAGAAGGGAGAGAGATGTCGCCTTCTCTCTCTCTCTCTCTCTCTTTCTCTCTCTCTCTCTCTCTCTCTCTCTCTCTTTGTATTTATTAATGATATCATCAATGCATTCCACCCCCTGGCAGGGTATAGGCCATATACAAGCTCCATCCATTTATCTCTATCATGGGCCATCCTTCCAAGCTCATTCCAAGTGAGCTTCATCTCTCTCAGTCTCAGTCTCATGTCCCTTTCAATACATCTCTTCAATGTTTCCCGTGGCCTACCCCTGCCTCGTGCTCCCTGTGGGTTCCATTGCAGCGACTGTCGTGCTGCATAATATATCATTCTGAGTTCAACCCAAGGAGCTTAGAACTAAAGCTTACTGTAAACTCCTTGGTTCAACCGCACAATCAGTTTCTGATGGGGTTCACACAGACCACGGAAGCTGCACCTGTGACTTTTGATTTGCCATTGCGGATGGGATCGGGTCGGGTCGGGGTGATCGCACGACTCTTCGCATGAAAACTTAATGCAAGGTGCCCATTGGGGGATCGGATCGGATCGGGTCGGTTTGCTAGCCAGATTGATACATGGTGCTCACTGCGGCTGGATCGGCCGATCGCCCGACTCGATCGCCTGAAACTGAAAACAAACGTAGTGGGCACCCCATAGTTAAAGACACAAAGAGGCTATCATGGCGCAAACCGCGATCGACCCGACCCGACCGGACCCGATCCCGTCTGCAATTGGCACCCGTGCGTTTGTTTATTATTTTTGAGACGAAGAGTCGGGCTCAGTCGGCTTGTTCCACGATAGCCGCTTTGCGCGTTTCAATGTGGCTCACAAACCGACCAGACCCGACCCGATCCCCAATGGGCATCCCGTATAAGACAGCTAGATGATCTACCATTGTGGAGGAAAATAATGGCAGGTGACATCAAAATGTAAAATGTCTGTAAAAGTGACACTCAACATCTCTCTCTCTCTCTCTCTCTCTCTCT